TGGGTAATGACAATGTTGGCACCTGCAGTGGGTACGGTGTGTTAACCCTTAACACTGTGCCAGGTGGGGATGTTGGGCCTGGTGGGGATTATGGTTTTGCCATCTGTGTGTAAGAACAATGCTCAGAACAGTGTACAGCATGGGTTGTGCAGTGCACAACAGGGGCATGTGTGAGCACTCAGCAGATTACTGGAACTCCTTAGGGATGGAGGTCTTGGAAAATTGGACCAAGACCTCCAAAGCAGAAGGGTGTTTGGGGGTATCACTGGAACTATGAAATAACCATTCATAAAAAATAAGACATTGTGATCAAACTACATAATATGCTGGCTAGTTTTTATTTTTATATTGGTTTATATTTTATTTTGTTTCCCATCTCTTGTCACTCCAAATTATTTGAAGCGCTATTGTCAAGAATGACATGTTAAAGCATAATTTGCTGGCCAAGTTACTAATACTGCTCACCCTTGCTTTCACTCCAAACAAACAAACAAACAACAGCAAATGCTCCCATTGTCTATACTACGTCCAACCTCCTGTAGTCTGCCATCTGCAAGCCTCCACGAGTGGATAGTTCCAGGGATATTTCTCATTAGTCTCTTTCACAAACAGGTCCAGCAAAGAGAATTACTGACCCCTGCTCTCACACTTTCTGCACTCTCCTGGCCTTGGGACTGTGCTCCTGTTGTTTACTTTCTCTCACTTTTTCTAGCTCTAATCCTGCCGGTCCTTCAGGGCTCAGATCCAATGCATGCCTTCCACAGCGCCCTTCCCACACTGCTCAGCTGGATGCAAACTCTTCCTTTTTTGTCACTCCTTGTTTTTCTTTCTTTCTTTTTTTTTTTTTAATGATGTTTTACCACTTTCCGTCTTCTGTACTTATAATTTGTATGCATGGGTTACCTCCACTTATTAAGGATAAATCCCCTGCAGGCTGAAGCTTGGCCTTATATAACATTGCTTTTCTGAGCAGGACCAACCATGTGTTAGGGAAAATATTTATTCAATAAAAGAATGATAAAAACCAGCAGAAGAAACATTTCTTTTTTTTTTGCTCCTCACCACTGCCTCAGGGAGAACTAGGTGAGGTGTTTTGGGGTAAGAGAGGAGGGAGGAATAAGCGAGCTACCATATTTAAAGGTGACTAATGCTTTCCAAAGGAAACGAAAGATTTGCAGTCATTACTATTTTGCAAAGCCTTATTTTCCCACTTAAGGGACGGCTCTTCAATTTTGCAATCTGAAAAAGAACTAAAAGCAACCACCACATGTAAGGCGGTCCCCTCGGTCTCAGGGACTATTTTTAGGTCATTGTAACATGGTTTCGGCAGTGAAATGCTTCTCCAGCTCAGCTTCAGTGCCGTTTTCCTGACTCATGTTCATTTCTCACGCTCCCTCTGGCCTGAACCCATGCTCTTTACCTCATTCGTGCTATGCCATTTCCCCATTTGACCATGTAAACTGGCACATCTGACAGCGGGCCCATAGCCACTTCCCTAAAACATCTCCATGGGTATCTGCAGTTTGTAGAACTTCATGGCCATCTGTGGCTGTGAGGAGCCAGGGGCCCTGGAACCTGCGTAAGGGTGGGGATGGCAGGCACCAAAGAGTCTGAGCTCCTCTAACCGGGGCGTGGACAGAAATAGAGATGCTTCCATCAACAGGACAACATCAAAAACCCTCCTTTAAGTGTCTATATTTGATTTGTTCTAGCAAAAATGGGGCTTAATGGACCAAACACCAACTTAGTATTTCTCATGAAGGATGAAATCCCAAACCACCTCAGCTCCCCACTGGGCACTGGAGCCTACCCAGTCACATTCCTTCTGGTGACGGGTCTCCATTCCTTCCCTCCACTCCCTTCATTACCAGTACTTTACTGTCTAATCCAAGAATAGAGCTGGGAACAACACGTGAAAGATTTCAGAGGCTGGGCGTGGTGGTTCACGCCTGTAATCCCAGCACTTTGGGAGGCTGAGGTGGGTGGATCACCTAAGGTTGGGAGTTCAAGACCAGCCTGACCAACAAGGAGAAACTCCATCTCCACTAAAAATACAAAATGAGCTGCGCGTGGTGGCGTATGCCCGTAATCCCAGCTACTCCGGAGGTCGAGACAGGAGAATTGCTTGAACCCAGGAGGCGGAGGTTGCGGTGAGCTGAGATTGTGCCATTGCACTCCAGCCTGGGCAACAAGAGCAAAACTCCATCTCAAAA